GCCTAGACAAACCAATCTGAAAACAAGTAAATAAAGAGAAGGCATAAACCATTTATGCTACCTTTCCTATAGGAGTTATTCCTGATATAAATAAGTGGTTGAGGAGAGAAAGCTTTTTATTACTGTACTCCAGCTCACAAATGAAGACAGAATGATAGAATATCAATACCAAAAAAAATCTTTAGAATTAATGTTACTCGTCTCTTCAGCTAACTTTCCCTGCCTCTTTTCTGACTTTAAAAAAAAAATCTTTAAATCAAAAGTTTTATGAAGCAAAAAATTCAGGAATGAAAGTTTGATAACTTTTATCTTAGATTGCAGCCAAAAGACAATTAAGCAGATTATTCCCCAGTTTGGAAATGTTAACACCTCTCATTTAGGTCTTGGTTTTATAAATGTTTCTTGTACTTCTTTGGTCTTCACTCGTTGTGCTTCCTGTTATTGCCAGTCATTTCAAGAGATCCTTCAGGGGGCGCCTGGGTGGCTCAGTCAGCTAAGCATCTGGCTCTTGATATTGGTTCAGGTCATGATCTCGCTGTTGTGGGATCAAGCCCCATATCATACTCTGTGCACTGGGTATGGAGCCTCCTTGGGATTCTCTCCCTCCCTCTCTCTCTCTCTCTTTCTCTCTCTCTTATTCTCTCTCTCTCTCTCTCTCTGCCCCTCCCCCACTCTCCATGCTCTCTTTCTCTCTCTCTCTCAAAATAAAAAGCATTAAAAAGAGAGAGAGAGAGAGATCTTTGAAACTACTCAAATATGGAATAATGTTGATCTTCCAACTCAGTGCAGGAACAGAGACAGAACCAGACTACAACATACCCCAGAAGTTTCAGTCTCCCAGTCCAGGACCTTAAACAGCTTTTTAAATTAATCACAGTGAACATGGTCTTTTGAGTGATGCTTGTGTGAAGAGGCAATAGAAAAGGTTTCCTTCGTACTATAAAGTAAATATATTAACTCAAAAACAAATTAATCTGTGTGAGATAATAGAGGTAAAAACCCACAAGGGACAACTTAGGTAGTCTTCATTTTGATTTTTTTAAATAAGAAATCTATTTAAAAAATTTTTTTAATAGTTAATTTATTTGTTTTTTTTTTTTAATTTTTTTAATGTTTTATTTATTTCTGAGAAAGAGAGAGAGAGACAGCGTGAGCAGGGGAGGGTCAGAGAGAGAGGGAGATACAGAATCTGAAACAGGCTCCAGGCTCTGAGCTGGCTGTCAGCACAGAGCCTGATGCGGGGCTCGAACCCACAAACTGTGAGGTCATAACCTGAGCTGAAGTCGGACGCTTAACTGACTGAGCCACCCAGGCGCCCCAATAGTTAATTTATTTTTGAGACAGAGAGAGACAGAGCATGTGCGGGGAAGGGGCAGAGAGAGAGGGAGACACGGAATCCGAAACAGGCTCCAGGCTCAGAGCTGCCAGCAGAGAACCCGACGCAGGGCTTGAACCCATGAACCATGAGATCATGACCTGAGCCGAAGTCGGACACCCAACCGACTGAGCCACCCAGGTGCCCCTTCGTTTTGATTTTTAATAAAGTTTTACAGTTATAAGTAATTGCAGATTTTTCTCCATAGATACGTTGTTTCTTTGATTCAGACACATCTGTTTTCACGTTTTAACATTTCTGAAATTTTCATGTAGCTTATAATGCATGTGCATACAGGTTTCCTTGCTATCGGAAAGCAGAGCATTCCTATGAAACCTTTTAAAAATGGCATAAAGAAGTAATTACCATTAATTTAATGGAAAAATTTTTTAGAGTTCCCAGACCCAAAAAGTAACCTCTCAAGCTTTTCTGTTGCCTTAGGAGATATCTTGCTAATGGTTGTACAAAATAAACTGAGATAAAGTACAGGTGCTCACAGACACAGTTCCAAGTTATGGCAGCTCAAAGCTGAGATGCTGAGTGTAGTTCATGGGGAAGGAGCTTCGTGGGGCTCTATTACTGCCTCTGTAACAGCTTGCTGCAAAACAGATGCTGAATACTGCTTACACTTTGATTTTCATAATTAGCCAGAATCCTTTCAGTTATTTCTTTCAGTTAGGAAAACAGGTACTAATGTAGGCTTTTCATAGATGCGAAGTGATATAACACAGATTTTTCAAAAGCAACAGGTACTTGTATTTAATGTGGCAGTGATCCTGTGGCCTCCTTAATCTGCCCAAGAAACTTTTAAATTGTGTGTTTTACAATATTAATTTTGTCTTTGAGTCTTGGAAAAATGGTAAATGATGTTTCTGGGTGAATTTTGAGTCAAATTTGTTTACAATGTGCTTATAGAGTATTTTAGAGCAGTACCTTCCAAATTATTTTTTTCATAATACTGTATAATATCATATATAAAATATCCTAATATTAGTTCCTGTCTTACGTGTTCCAAAAACAGGGGACTGAGATGCTCAATGGTCAAATAAATTTAGAAAATGTGTCTTACTTTTAGAGCCTTATGATGCACAAAAAGCCTTTTAAGCTCTGTGAAAGACTCATTTGAAAAAATAAAAATTCTTTCCATCTCTTTTTACCAAGTATTTTCCAAACTTTTGTGACCCCCCCCAAATCCTTTTCTGTTAACACCTGCTAGAAGTCCATTTTGGAAAATCCTGCTATGTAGAGTTGATTTATGTAAGTATTAAAACAAAACATTTTTATCAGGTAGTTTTAAATACTTACCTATTGCAAATTTAGAAAAACCATCTTGTTTTGTGCATCTGTGTATCTAGTAGTCACAAGAACCTTTTCAAAGGCACGGTTGGCTAGACTAGATGGTCACTTAGTCAGACCTGATCTTTAACTGCTTTCAGTAGTACAGCAACCCTGTGCTGCCCAATCGGTATTAGCCCTGGATTCATCTCACAGATTTGTACCTCATTCCCGTTGTTGGACTTTGGGATGATAAGTCTGAGCAATGGAAATTGTGATGTAATATATCACAGCTTGTCAGCTCTGGCACTGTAGTTTTATTCTGTAACTCACTGCACCGATTTTTTTAGACTTTATTATCAATTTAGTAAATATACTGGTCAGGTGTCAGTACTCCTGGATTTTCTTGTATTGTGCTCATGTATTTATTGTAGCCTGTTTATAGTAAATCTCTGGGCGAGCCATAGAGCTGAGATAAATCCGCCCCTTCCTGTGTTCTGCCAGGAAAAAGAGGGAGTTAGGTGGTTCTTGAAAGTGTAGGTGAACCCTGCTGTCCTCAAAGTAAGAGATGTCTTCACCTCTGTGTAATGAAAGCTGTAAGTTATTAAACAGACATGTTCTTTGGCATATTCAGTAATCATTTATTAAATGCCTGGTGTGTACCAGGTAACTCTCCCTAGAACAGGATTTTAAAAGTGAAAAGCAACCAATCCTTGTTCCTCTCACAGAGTTGACTCTAACTGGTGAGGCAATGGTTGTAAAAATGATAAATATTCATAATGCAGTGTGCTCAGTATTATAAGAAGTAGGTATAGGAGACTTTGGGGACCCCTAACTCAGATACTGAGTTTGGTGAAGGGAAGTAGAAAGTCTGAGCTGAATGAATAAGTGGTGTTTGGTCATGCTGGAAAGGGGATAAAGGACATCACTGACTGAACAGCTTATAAAGTGCATGGAGTTGTGAAAAGCAAGGGATTTGGAGATCCAGGTAGCTTGGTCTTGCACAGGGTATTTTTGGTGGCAGGATGGAGAATGAGGCCTGAAAGGAAGGAAGGAACCCAGTGTTTCAGGGCTCTGATTGCTGTGTTAGGCAGAATTTGGAAAACTGTCTCATAGATGGTTCTTGATTTGTATTAGCACTTTTCAATACTAAGTTAATGAAAATTGAGTAAACTATGCTAAATTTCTTAAGTTTACTGTGTATTTCCAGATGTCAGAATAATATTCATGTTTCTAAGATCATCTTGATGATTCATGGGTCTGATCACTTAATGAATAACCCATACATAAATGCATTAGCTCTATTCTTAATAAGTTTTATTGAAATATAATTTACTTGCAACACCAGTTTTACAAGCATAACTCACTGAACTTTGACAAATGTATACAGTCATATAACTGCCATCCCTCTTATCATGATACAATAGATTATACACATATGGTATATTATGCCATAGCTTTTAATTAGATTTTGGTATAGTAAAGAAATTAATACTTTGAACCATAACCCTGGAAAATGTCATCTCTGAAGGACAGAGACATAAAAAGCCATCAACCTTAAAGCAGCAAAAAAAGTTTTTTTTCTATAAAACCCATATACAAAGAGAAGCTCTGTATAAATGGTGCTTTTGGGGAGGGGTTGTTTCTTGAGATCTTCAGAAGGAAAAGGAGGAAATAAGAAGCAACAATAAGAAGTTGTCCACAAAGTGACTGGTGTGATGTTATATAAAAAAGTTTGAGGGTGAAGGAAGAAAAAGCACTGAGAATACAGAACCACAAGTTAAAATAATGAACTGGAAACCTCAGACTTGAGCTCTAGCAAACAGCTCTGATACTTAATAACAGAGTCCTAGAAGCAATCTCCTTTGTCTGAGGTCTTAGTTTTTTCTCACTCATAAAATGGGGAATCAAGGAGCATATTCAAGCCATATCATGCAGGACTTAGAGTTTTGTGAGGTGTGGCTAGAAGTTACAGGTTGAGGAATTAGGGCTAACTTCTAAATTGGGGAATAGTTGGAGTTAGGTTTTGATGCCAACTGATAGCGGAGAAAGTGCATTTCCTCTCTTCAGTTGTATTTCCACATGTTCAACTGACTTTTTATGGACTGTCACAGCATTGGAGGTTAGGACACTTAACGATTCTATCTGTAATTCTCTCTTGCAACTGTGATTCAGAACGAATAGAGAGGACTTTATCCAAGGGAATGAATATTGTCTTTAAACCACCAGTCTTTTTTCTTTCCTGGAAAATATTACATTTAAGAATAAAATATATGTTTGAGTATGAGAGACATGAAGGTTTGTATTTTTTAACAATTACTTTATCCATCTTATTTGCTTTTTTAAACAGTTACCCATGGGTGTATTGTTTCTACAATAAAACTTTTTCTACCAGATGGTATGGAAGCCCGGCTCCGCTCAGAGTGAGTATAATTTAGTTTTTGTATTAGCTACATTGGTTAATAATATTCTGGATGATGGTATACTGTTAACAGTTCAGGATTATTCTAATAATGGTAGAAAATTAATCCAGTAATTTTAGAATATAATATACTTAATTTTAATTGCTTTTCACGTTAGCTACAATTCTAGTAAATAATAATGTATACGGAGGCATAGGTTATTTTGTTTCCAAATTTAACTTTACAATTTATATTTTGATGGATAATTAGTTGTTTTTCAAAATTTTTAGGGTGTGTAAGTCACTGGTGAGTGATAACTGCATTTAAATTTTTTTTTTTAATTTAGTTTATTTATTTTGAGAGAGAGAGAGAGTGCAGATAGGGGAGGGGCAAAGAGAGAGGGAAAGACAATCCCAAGCCCCATTATGGAGCTTGAACCCATGAACTGTGAGATCATGACCTGAACTGAAACCAAGAGCTGGGTGCTTAACTGACTGAGCCACCCAGACACCCCTAAAAATATTATTTTTAATGTTTGTTTATTTTGAGAGGGAGAATGTGCACACACTCCTGTGGGTGAAAATGGGGGAGGGTCAGCAAAAGAGGAGAAAGAGAATCCCAAGCAGGCTGTGCTCTTTCAAGCACAGAGCCCGACAAGGGGCTCGACTCATGAACCCTGAGATCATGACCTGAACCGAAATCAAGTCTGACACTCAACCTACTGAGCCAGCCACCTAGGTGCCCTGAATGATAACTGTATTTTGATCTGCATTTAACATAGGATTCTTAAAGTATGATTCCCTCTAAAGTTAATGCTGGTATCATGATCTTTTAGGACCTTGAGGGGTGTTAATATAGTTAGTAGCCTATTTTGATGGGAATTTTGGAGGGATTTTCCAATGCTATGTATTTTTTTTTTTTCCTGAAGCAGTGGAAAGATTATTTAAAGGAAGACAAATTTGAAAGAGGGGAGTTACTCATAAAATGTAATGTTAAGATCTAAATATGAGTACATTTTAATCTTGGCGCTTTTCACAGATTATCATTATGTAGTAATTACTAATTAAATTTAAGTATTTTTATTTGCAAGGGAGGTATAGACCTTTTTTCTATACCCAGCATAATACTTTTTATCCTTCAAAAGCAAAGACAAAGATTTGAGGTTGGGAGGTTAAGATAAGCAGTAAGTTGAAGGCAAAGTAGAGTAGTAAGAGGAAAGAATGAAAAAGAAAGCAAAGAGAGGCTCCTCTATTACCATGGCAGTCTGTGCTTTCATTAGAATTACTATATATTTTGCTTCAGTGAGAAGCTACCTTTTTTTTTTTTTTAGCTTTAAGGATATCTGAAGCAAAACAAAAATTTTTAAACATTTTATTTATTTAAAAAAATTTTTAATGTTTATTTTTGAGAGAGAGGGGGAGAGGTTGGGAGCAGGGGTGGGGGAGGGGTAGAGAGAGAGGGAGACACAGAATCTGAAGCAGGCTCCAGGCTCTGAGCTGTCAGCACAGAGCCTGATGTGGGGCTCGAACTCATGTACTGCGAGATCATGACCTGAGCCAAAGTCAGAGGCTTAACTGACTGAACCACCCAGGCACCCCTTAACATTTTAAATTCAAAACAATCTGTTTCCTAGTCTATATTATAGTTTAGTTATTAAAAATACAGTTAACTTTGGGAACTTTAATGTGACTCAGCTTTTATGAGTCAAGGGGTAAGTTTTTAAAAATAAGAATAACTATTAATCAGCTAATGATACGTGGCTTCTTAAAGACCTTGATGTTTCTGTGTGATAATGAGATTTTTCTTCCATGGAGCTAAAAGCTTTGAGCAGTTATATAAAGGGTTATCTGTAATCTCAGGTTCCGTCTAGTAGAGCATGTGAATTTCTCAGTCTATGTTTCGTGAACTATGTACCCCTGTCCTTCTTGTTTTCCTGCTGCTTTTCATCTTTGTCCTTCTTTCCTTCTCATTGTTTGGTTTTTCTTATGTGGTTAAATATTAGCATCATTTAAAATTTTGCAGCCAATTTCATTGTACATAATCTGGCTGACTTTCTGGAAAAGATGATTTGGGACAGGCACTGCTCCAGAGCTGGAGGAAGATCAGAACGGTCTTTAGAGGCAGATAGTCTGTTTCAAAGCCCGACTCCACCTATTCTGTGACTTGATCAGACCTCCTTTTTCTCATTTGAAAAATGAAGATAACAGGAGTACCTGTGGAGCAGGAATTTTATAAGGAGGATTAAGCAAGTTTGTGCACTTAAAGTTTTGTGTACTACCTGGCATATATTAAGCACACGATAATCATTGGTTCGTTCTATTACTGTAATCTTTCTTAGCATTCAAGATATTTTTTGGGTACAACAGAATGCTTAGAGTTTAAGGTACGTTGTATACATACCATTTAATGCTTTTAAGATCTTCACTAGATAATTCTCAAAAAGTTGGTTATTGGGTGTCTGGGTGCCTTGGCTGAGCATCCAACTCTTGATTTCTGCTCAGGACATGATCCCAGGGTTGTGGAATCAAGCCCTATGTTGGGCTCTACACTGAGCATGGAGTCTGCTTAAGCTTGTCTCTCTCTTACCTCTGCCCCTCTCCCTTGCTTGTTCTCTCTCTTTCTCTCTCTCAAGAAAAAAAAATTCTTTTTCTTCCTTGATTTTTATTATATCACACAAATATTATTTTATAAAGTAATCTGTACACCCAGCATGGGCTCAAACTCATGACCCTGAGATCAAGAGTTGTGTACTCTGCTGGCTGAGCCAGCCAGGCACCCCTCTACAAATAATTTTTAAATGATAACAAACAGAGAAATTGCCTGTAATTCCACAATCCTAACACTAAATATGATTTTCTTCTTCTGCATTCCCTATTGCATATGAACTTTTCTTATAATCCAAACAAAATACATCTATTTCCAAGATAGTTTCTGTAAAATACATACCACACACACACACACACACACACACACACACACACACACACACAAATAAATATATTACTTACTGAATGCTTAGCTGGATTTTTAGACTTTGGTTAACTAAATTTTCACAAGAACAGAAAATTTTGTACTTTGGTCACTAAGAAAAATAGAATAAAAACCCCTGAGTACTTTTTGGTTCATTTAGACTTTATTAAGTTCATTTTCCTATATGTGCATATCAACAGAGAAAAAGGTATATAAGGTTACCTCTGGGTGCTGGCATTAGGTAATTTTTACTTATTTCCTCTTATTACTGCACACACGTAATCAATATGTATTACTTGTATAGTGAAGAAAACAAAAGTTACATTTAAGATGTCTATCCCATGTTTATGGGGTAGAGAGAAAAGCTAAAGTTGGCCTAATTTTTAAGCCTTTATTAGGCACCAGCTTTGCCAGGGCATTGTGATAGATTCTGGGGATCCAGACATAAATTGGTCACAATGCCTAAAAACACACATGTGAAAATGAAGAAGTAAAGGGTTCTATGATCTCAATGGGAGTCTGTACAGGACCATGTATGCTCAGAAGGGAGGGGTGTGCTGGTTCATATTACTCCATTTTATTCAGTGTTTTAGTGTATTTGTGACTAATTGGATTGAAACAATTCTTAGGATGTTTGTGGTTACTACAGTGGGATCAGAGTTGTCATTTCTGTGTCATTTATGTGTAAATTGTCATTTATGTGTAAGTCATAGATCGGTTTCCCATTAGTTTACACGTGATTAACCAGTTGAATCTAGGAGCTTTACTCTAGTCAACCTTCAAGGTGACCATTACCAGAGTAGCAGCTATGATATGGATATGGAGTGATTAGCAACTGGTAGGGGATGTGGGTGGTAACCTTGCTTTGTGTTCTCTCTACTCACCCCAGTCCCCACACAGTAGCTTACCAGGTATTGTAAGATAGGGTCCCTGGCTTCCTTAGCTGCTGCGTTCTCCTGGGAGTGGTAGTAGAATCAAGTGCTACTAGGTTCAAGGTACTGTTTAAAGCTCTTTATTTATATTAACACATTTAATACAGTAACCCCTGGAGTTGTTTTTTTTAATGGTTATCCCCATTTTATAGAGAAGGAAGCTGAGACATCTAGTGCTTATTAGGTAACTTGCCCAAGATTGCACAGCTGGTAAGTAGAGCCAGAATTTGGACCCAGGGAGCCTGCCTACTTAACTGCTACACGACACTGCCTATCTGTCAGTACTTTATAAGGCTGAAGAGGCAATTAGTACCAATTATACTGTCTGTTTACTGCTTAGTTTTAAAGAGGTATACGGAGTTTAGTTTCCTACTTACATTTAAGCTTTCAGTTATTAATGTGTGAAGTGGCTCGATGGAGAATAGTAATACTCTTTGGTTAGCTAAAATTGTTCTCCACGAGAACAAGTTTCCAGATTATAGATTTCTTTCAAATAGAACCTTGATTTTTAAGACTTCGTGTATAGGAACATTTAATTTTAAAGGAAAGTAATTTACACGTTCCAAAATGAAAAATGGATATCTAGAAGTTCTATAGCCATGAAACTCACCAGAGCCCTCATTAAATAGTGGATCCTCAAAGGGCATTTAATATATTTTGAATTTCGAATTTGTCTTTAAAAATATATTATGTGTAAAAGGTAGATCTGTGTATTTATTACCTTGTTTTCTAAGAATGCTATGTATTTATGAAGGATTAAAAAATAATTCACATTCTTTTAATTATGTGAAAGCATGTGTAGCAACTTTGGAGTTTAAGATATTCCGGTACTGTCATACTGTGTCCTCTGTTGTCAGGAAATTAGATAAAAAGTCTAAATTTTTCTTTTCAGTGTCATCCATGCTCCATTACCAAGTCCTGTTGACAAAGTAAGTTAGTAATGATTTTTTTTTCCAAATTAACTCAACTATATTGCTTTGGAAAATGTTTTTCTTGGTTTTTAATATGCTTTACCTAGAAATTTATTTTTCTTCTGTAACAAAGTACATGCAGTGTATATTTGGTTAATTGCAGTCTACTATTTGGAAATTTTAGGGTGGGTGTTTCTTAGGAGAAGCCCTTGTTATCTCAAGTAAAGGGCTGGTTGTATAGACTAGGAGATCTTATTTTGTGCCTAGCCAGAAGTATGAAAGTGTTAGTGACTGATGTTTATTCTGGAATACAATTCTGTCTAGAAATATTTATTAGTTTTTCTGCCCAAACATTCCCCAACATATATGTAGAAATACAGAAATAACAGAAATACAGGTTTACAGAAATTGTTCTTTTATTGTCCTTGAAAATCAGTTTTAACCTGATTTGGTCAGAAACTTTGCGATAATTACTTGTTAGTATTTTTCCTTTTGTTCAGAAATAATGTGGTAATAAACTGTAGATATCATTGCTTAATAGCAAAAATATATATATCTTTTGATATTAATGTAGATTTTTTTTTCTTAGTGTACTGACTAAACTATTGGGAAAATAGTTTACATTTTTTTCTTCCATGTGGATAAAGACTGAAAGCCAGCCTGAAACTGAAGTTCTCTGTTAAATTCCTTTTTTAGAAGTAAAAGTGGTTAATCATCAAGTTCAGCGATCCCAAGAATTATTTCAGTAGTAAATAATGACCTTGCCAATTTAGGACTAACTTTTAAAAATAATGCCGCTTCTCTGAATTCTAGTTAGCATATTTTTTAAAAAATATGCTTTCTGAGCTTAATCAGGAATGATGCTATTAACATCATTAGTAATGATGTTATATAAAAGGCATGGTGGTATTAAGGATATGGACAGATGTTACAGCAACCTATCAGTACCTTCTTTGGTGGTGGTGGTGTTGGGGGGTGCAGAAATAATGGCACGGTTCTATGTTCCACACTTGGGAGAAACCCTTATAGAAGGTAATGTTTCATAATACTCTTGAATTCTAAGTATTTTTTTTCTGCAATTTGTAGTTAAAACACCATTATTTCCTATCTTTTTCTTCTTAAACCTACTTTAGTTTAAAGAAGAAAAAACAGACAAAGCTCTTTTCTTTTTTCTTTCTTTTTTTTTTTTAATTTTAATTTTTATTTATTTCTGAGAGAGAGAGAGAGTGAGAGTGAACAGGGGAGGGTCAGAGAGAGGAGACAAAGAATCTGAAGCAGGCTCCAATTTCTGAGCTAGCTGTCAGCACAGAGCCCGACACGGGACTCAAACCCATGAACCATGAGATCATGACCTGAGCCGAAGTCAGAGACTTAACTGAGCCACCCAGGATCCCCTCTTTCTTTCTTTTTAAATTTTTTTTTAACATTTATTAATTTTTTGAGAGACAAGGGGAGCATGAATGGGGGAGGAACAGAGAGAGAGGGCAACACAGAATCCGAAGCAGGCTCCAAGCTCTGAGCTGTCAGCACAGAGCCTGATGTGAGGCTTAAAACCCACAAACAGTGAGATCATGACCTGAGCCAAAATCGGACGCTTAATCAACTGAGCCACCCAGACGCCCCTCTTTTTTTTGTTTTTTAGAGACCTATTTTCATTGCTTCTGGTTAGTGGACAAAGCATTGTATTTCATGTCCTGTCTCTCCCCATACCCTCACATACAAATCCCATTTTGAAGATGGCTACCTGTAAATGAATTGTGATTTGTTGACATATTGGAGAAGTATTTAACAATGAATTTTAAAGGGGGAAAATACAGATCTATTGATTTAGGAGTTATTTCTGGATTAAGAAAGGGCTTTGTTGCTTTTGGCTGTGCTTGTGATTTGGTTTATCAAGGAGTTTTTTCATGAGTAGTACTTGTTTCACCACCCTGCTTATAAATCTCAGACTAGTCAACAAAATACCATTTACAAATTCTACACATGGGACAGAAATATTTTGAAAATGAAAGGAACTGGTTAAGCTAAAAAATAATTTTTATTTTGCATATTTCAGTAAATAGACATTTCAAGGACTTGGTTTGCTTTAAAGTCTGTTATAAATGTTTTGTGTGACTATTGGTATTTGTGTCATTTTGTTTCTAGGTTGCTGCTAACACTCCAAGTATGTACTCTCAGGAACTATTCCAGCTTTCTCAGTATCTACAGGTAAAAGTAAATCTTGAAAATTCTTAGTTTTTAAAAGGAGAATTAAAGAACTTAGGTTTAATTTTGCTAGTTCACAAATACAAGGTAAAGAAATACTGGCTGGCTATAAGTACAAAAGAATATCTTTTCAAAGTAAAAAAAAAGGATTAAAATTAGGTCTTGTGAAGAAAGATAGAATCAGGATTATTAAATCTAGAAAAGATAAGGTTCTGTACAAGAGAAGTTTTTGTCATTTAAATATGATACAGTTTCAAAATAATTCTTTATCCATAGATGACTTTTAAAGAAAATTAAATCTGGAGAGATTTTGGTTGCATAGTATAATAGCAAATAATTATATAGCACTTACTGTATGCCAGACTTTGGTCTACCTCTTTGCTTCCATTTATTTAATCTTCAGAACAATCCTGTAAAGTACATACTTTATTCCCATTTTTATAGACAGAGGAACTGATGGCCTGGAAGGTTAAATAATTTACACAGTATTACATACCTACTCTGTAGTAGAGCTGGGATTTGAACCCAGACAGTCAGACCTCAGAGTCTCTGTCCTTAACCACTGTGCTATGCTGCTGAGTCTGTAGAAAGACATCTTGATGAGGCAGATACATGGAGTGGGCTCCTGAAGAGAAAGAGCTATATAAATCTTTAAAAAGGAAACAAGTGGTGTGTGTGTGTGTGTGTGTGTGTGTGTGTGTGTGTGTGTTTTCTCTTGATTTTGGGAGATTTGGGCTGGATTATGTTCTTATTATTCTGGTGAGGGAGCATAATGAAGAAAAATCCTAGATAAGGAATTTAGAAATTGGACTTTTTATCTTGGCTCTGTTGCTGAGTTCTATGACTTTGAGTGACTCATATCACATTTGTAGGTCTTCCATTGCTTTTTAAAATGATAAGACCAAACTGGTGATCCTGGTTCCTACATTCCTTTAAAGGAATCAATCACTAAAAGCAGTTCTCTCTTGGTTAAGAATGTACAAATCTGTGAAAATTGTCAGAGTAATAATCACATCTTACCTTCTGCTGGGTGTTATATAATGGTGCATAGAAAAGCAGAGTTGCACATTTGCAGTTTAAGTAGAATGTCTAATAGCACAGACTGTAGCCAGAGTTCCCTGTACTCAATCTGAGGCTTTAACCTCCTACCTTTTGGGAAAGTTGTTTAACCCTTTTGTGTGCCTCATTTTCTTAATGTGTGATATGAGTATAATAATAGCACTTATCTCACAGAATTGTTAGGAATAAATGAATCAATATATATATATGTGAAGCACTTAGAACAGTGCCTGGCACATAAAATATATGCCATACGTGTTAGCAGTTGTGTACCACTCAAAAGAAGGTACGTTAATTGACCTAGATCTCTCTTATTTTTAGAAGTAGAAGAAAACTTTGAGATTAATCTGGTCCAACCTTCCATTTTTCACATGAGAAATATGGGGCTCATCTAGATAAAAATGATTCCCAAGGCTATATACACTGTATACTTATCAGTCATCACGGATTGTGAATCTAATGTCCTGACTCACTCAATACTCTTTCCAACTTTGTCTGTTTTTTGCATATTTGTAGGTGGGCATAATCTTTCATTGTTCTTTTCTGATTTTTTAATTTTTTTTTAATGTTTTATTTATTTCTAGGAGAGAGAGAGAGAGCGTGAGCAGGGGAGGGTCAGAGAGAGAGGGAGTCACAGACTCTGAAACAGGCTCCAGGCTATGAGCTGGCAATCAGCACAGAGCCTGACGCGGGGCTCGAACCCACGAACCGCGAGATCATGACCTAAGCGAAAGTCGGACGCTTAACCGACTAAGCCACCCAGGCGCCCCTATTCTTTTCTGATTTTTGAGAGAATATTATACTGTGCTTTTTTTTCTGTATACCTCTGTGTGAATTGCTGAAGTTCTAATGTAAATTGTAAAACTTTTGAATAAGAGCTGGTATAGATACATGTCATGCCTTAGAACTAAAAGTAAAGAACTGGAAGTATTAGATTTCTGTTAGGATGTGGTTCGTGGAATTATGAAACTCTAAATGGAATTGAGTTTAAAAAGGTGAAATTACACCACCTAGTGGAAGTAGTGATTATTTGGTGGCTTTGTTTTTAAGTAAAATTTTTTGCAGCATTAGTGTAATTTTCTGAATATTAGGAATGTGTTAAGAGCTTAAAATAAACTTGACAACTAGTCTCTTTTAAGTATAGGCTGTTTTATGGCCTTTGTTAGATTCCTTAATCTATACTTACAGAGTTACATAAAAAAACTACCTCTAACTCTAATTAGATCAGATTTTCTCTGATCATTATTTATCACGGATGTGGACAACAATAAATGCATGCTTTAAACCTCAAGAATTGTGTTTGAAGCATACCCTTCTTTGTTGAGGTGGCTCCACAGGTATTAGGGTAGTAAGTGTTCTTCTTTGGCTAATGACAGGAATTGAAGAAAGTGAAATTTAAAATTGTGCCATAACCACTGTTGAATGCTGTGTGAACATTTCCACCTTGACTTCTAGTGAAGGAGACCCTCTTAACAGCTATCAAATGTTAAGTGATCTAGAGAGAAGGTTTGCTTGTTAATGTCCTTCTCTGGAAAAATATTCCTTTGGAGTTGCCAGATAGTTATATAACTCCTTGACTCCTTAATTACATTAGTGGACTCTTATTTTTGGCATATTCGATTTCTCCTAAGTAATATACAGTCTCAAAGAATCAGAACACCTGACAATGCAATAGATTGTGAAAGTGAAACAGTCTTTCTCTCCCCTTATATATATATATAAAACATATATATATATATAAAACATATATATATAAAACATATATATATATATATTTATATATATATATAAAACATTCTTTTTTTTAAAATGTTTTATTTATTTCTAGGAGAGAGAGAGAGACAGCGTGAGCAGGGGAGGGTCAGAGAGAGAGGGAGTCACAGACTGAAACAGGCTCCAGGCTCTGAGCTGGCAGTCAGCACAGAGCCCGATGTGGGGCTCAAACCCACAAACTGCGAGATCATGACCTAAGCGAAAGTCAGACGCTTAACCGACTAAGCCACCCAGGCGCCCCTATATATATCACATTCTTAAAAGGAAAAATTAAAAGACATTTCTAATTTAGATGTCATCCATGCAGCTAAGCCATTAAGAAGTATCTTTTTTACTGACCACATTGTTTGGCTTAGGTTGGAATGAGTTTGTTCTGAAAGATATGTATATATTTTTGAAAGTATGTATATATAAAATGCAGGGCTAACCATTTGTTGTATTCTTCTATTCTGGGTTTCCTTTTTTTCCCCCCTTAACTCTTCCTATGTATGAATGTATGTATGGGGGTATGGAGGTGTGGAGGTAAGGAAGTAAGTAAGCTCTATGCCCAACGTGGGGCTTGAACCTACAACCCCAGGATCAAGAGTCATGCTCGACTGACTGAACCAGCCATGCTTCTCTTTTAAAGTCACTCTTGTGAATTATGAGTAAAAAGAAAACAAAAACAAGAGAACTTGTTTTCTGTTAACAGTGGTAGGTGCAGCTAGAGTACCCCTAACAGACCAGGAAATAAGGCTAAAATGATGTGGCTTATATATTTTTTACAAGCTGGATTTGTCAGGTTTGAAAGTAAAATACAAAGTGGGATAGGAGAATATTTTCAGAATGTGCTAAAAATTGATTACTCTTCAAGGGATTATACTGAGTTCATTAGAATCTCTTTTATGATTTGTAATATTAGGAGGCCTTACACCGGGAACAGATGTTGGAACAGAAGCTAGCCACACTTCAGCGGCTACTTGCCATCACCCAGGAGGCCTCAGATACCAGTTGGCAGGTATTCCAGTTGCTTTTGTATTCATAGTTTAATATTTCTTAAATGTTGATTAAACTAAAACTGAAATTTTTTAGCAGGCAAAGGCAGTTATTTCCTAATGACCAAATATCAAACATTTAGCATTTTACAGTGGGTGTTGGTCAGTGTTATGATTTTACATCTTTTTTTTTGGCAGTAGCAACCATTTTGATATGTGTTATTTTTTAATTACCCTGGGATTTTATTTATATTTAATTTTTCTTCAACAGGCTTTAATAGATGAAGATAGACTCTTATCACGGTTAGAAGTTATGGGAAACCAATTACAGGCATGCTCTAAAGTAAGTATTAATCTCAAGTAAGGGTTCATAAAGAAAAATTTGTAAAATTTTTTTGTATAGCTTCATTTCTTTGCCTGTCATTTTGAGTACATTCTAAAGCATTTATATGTTTTCTCCATTCTTTTAAATCTTTTGTCATTATAGGAAATTTCAAATATACATGTAAGGACAAAGAATTGTATATTGAATATCCATGTATAACTCTCTTTTTTCTATCATTTGACATTTGCTGGAGAAACTGAATCATTTGTCCTCTATAGTTTGCCTCAATCTGGACTGTTACTTAACCATTCTTCTAACTCCCCACCCACACTGTAAATTGGTAATTTGATCTAGAGATTTTACCTGATTTAGGCTCAACTCTTTTTTGCCAACAGTACTTCGTGAATAGTATTGTGTACTTTCACCAAAAGGCACCATAATCTAGTTGTCTTTCTTTTTGACATATTAGCAGCCTTTGATGATCCTTGCCTGATCCATTATTAAGGGTTGCAAAAATGGTGATGTTGTAATTCTATCATTCCTTTATTTGTAGCTGGGTTACTTCTATAAATACTTCTGTTATGTCCCTCTCATAAACTATTTTGTTACCTGAAGTCATTTTCTTTAGGAAAGGCAGATACGTGATTTTCTTTTTTTATTTACTATATTCCAAAATAATGAATTAGTTCTTTCTCATCCACCAAAGAATGACCATGAAGTGGTTTTTTCCCCTCCAAACTAGATTTAAATATATTTCAGGTGTTTCAACCTGTTCCATTTTGTTGTTCTTATTGATGTTCAAATTATTTCACCTTTGATCAACTGTAGCTTTTTCAGTTTGGTGTCTGAGTCCTTTTGGTACAATCTCAGCAGGTTTTCATAGCTTCCTGCTGTCATTTTAGACAAGATGTTCCAGATTCATATTGTACATTTCCTGCCTCAGAGCTGGAATCAGCTTTTTCTTCTAGGTACTGTTATTGCTTTTGTTTTTAACCATTGTGTTAAAATGCTAGGCCCCTTTGAAAGTAAGAGATTATTTTTGCACACAAATGGAAATACTGTAGCTTACAGAGAATATGACAGATAGGAGACTTAATTCATTTTGTACATTTGAGAAATTGTTTGACTTTTTTTTATTGGAAATGTGAATTAGTATATTTGTGAAGGCATAAATTACTAATGGAACTTTTAAATAGAGCTTCAAGCTTCAGTTAATATAGGGGCAACATCATTTGGATTTGTGGTAATATAAAATTCAAAGAGCATCATAATGTGTTGTTTTTTCAAATGGTAAATAATTAAAAAAATAACTTGGTTATAATTACAAATATCTTTTAATCTTAGAATCAAACCGAAGATAGTTTACGGAAGGAACTTATAGCATTACAAGAGGATAAACACAACTATGAGACAACAGCCAAAGAGTCCCTGAGGCGGGTTCTTCAGGAGAAAATTGAAGTGGTTAGAAAACTTTCAGAAGTTGAGGTATTTTAATTTAACAAATACACTATGGTAATATGATTTAAAATTTTTAGCCTAAAATTGCTAATATTCTAGAACATTTTAAACTTGGGTATTATTTCCTTCTATCAAGTAGGAAGGGGTAGTATGCTGTTTTCATTGTTGGGAATTTTCAACATAACCATGTGAGTTTTGGTGCTTGTGGTCCCTAGTTAGTGACTGGGCAAATGAAAATCTAATCAAGGAGTCTTACAATTTGCACTCTGCTTAGGATTCAGCCTTCACACAGTGGACCATAATATGTGCCAGGGTTACCTGGTTTTGCTTTTCTTCAAGTTGAGGATAGTCATTGAAAGGTGGAGAACCTCATCAGTATTCTTATTTACCCATCCTCTAGAGAATAAAACTGTGTCTAACTTTGGAGGTCAAAGGGGAAAATATCTCTAAGGCCCTTTCTAAGTCTTTTAGAAACAATCAAAATGTGATTCTCGTCACTTTAAAAATGACCTAGTTGAAAATGGAGGTCATTCCTTTGAACCACTGCAGAATTACTACAGAAGTTATTTGTTACTGGATTTAGCTAAAATGTCCATTATAAATGAAATAATAAAAATATTATATATAGTGTATAGTACATACTGTGGTATACAGGATAGTAATAGTTTCTGTAATAGCCTCATCCCATAATAACTAATTCACTGTTGTGTCATTAATTTGACATACAAGAAAGTTGCTAGCTGTCTTCTGTTTTCTTATTGATTGTGCAATTATTAAACTTGGTTTCAAGAATTGATAAGCTTAAAATATTTTCAAGACCAAGTTATACCCAGTGGCTCTTTAAAGGAGTAGTTATATAAAAGTAACATCCTTTCCTCCCTGTCCCCTTTCTATTGTTTCATTTTTCAAATTTTTTGTTGTATTTTCTGTTTTAGTATGTACCTAAAATAAATTAAAATTCTTATATTATTTAACTCAGTCTTATATAAAGCCAGGGCAGATGTTAATTTAGAACAGCCCATAGAATTATACTTTCTATAAATTGAAGTTATAACATACATTTATTTTAAATCAGTAATCTGTAAACTTGAATTACAGCGAAGTCTGAGTAATACTGAAGATGAATGTACCCATCTGAAAGAAATGAATGAACGGACTCAGGAAGAATTAAGAGAATTAGCCAATAAATATAATGGAGCAGTTAATGAGATTAAAGATTTATCTGATAAATTAAAGGTATGTATTTACTCAACCTGAAAATGTGTTAATTGTCCCTAACAAACTGGATAGATTAAGAGGTTAGGCATTGCTGAATAGTTGTTGATTTAAATTTGGTAATAGTTAAAATTTGTTGTAAAAATAAGATTCCATTGGGGCGCCTGGGTGGCTCAGTCGGTTGAGCATCCGACTTCGGCTCAGGTCATGATCTCACAGTTCGTGGGTTCGAGCCCCACGTCGGGCTCTGTGCTGACAGCTAGCTCAGAGCCTGGAGCCTGTTTCAGATTCTGTGTCTCCCTCTCTCTCTGACCATCCCCTGCTCACGTGGTCTCTCTCTCTCAGAAATTAAAAAAAAATAATAAGGTTCCATTTAGCCCCATTGCCAGAGACAATTGAAACTCTGTAAAAGCTGACATATTTCATTTGGAAGGAAATAAATAGTACTTCACAACAGGCATTTTTAAATATATAATAGGAAGTAGATGCAAATCTGCGAGCCTCAAGATATTTAGACTTCAAAAAAAATTTTTTTTACATTTATTTATTTTTGAGAGATAGAGACAGAGCGTGAGTGGGAATGGGCAGAGAGGAGACACAGAATCTGAAGCACGCTCCTGAATCTGAAGCAGGCTCCAGGCTCTGAGCAAGTGTTCAGCACAGAGTCCAACATAGGGCTTGAACCCATGAACTGTGAGATCATGACCAGAGCCGAAGTCAGACACTTAACCAACTGAGCCATCCAGGCGCCCCTAGACTTTCTATAAACTTGAATGTGCTTATCCTTGGGCAGCCCCAAAAGCAGATATTAGTGCTGGAGCAAGCCCAGGGGACCTTGGAGTGATTTGCAATGGACCCTTGTAGCCTCTAGGGATGCTGTTAACTGCTTCAACTGCAGCTCCCTGTAGCTTGGGTGTAGGATTCTTAGGATAAGGACAAGACCAGACCATAAATGTCCTTTAAAATGTTATAACTGAGTTTGTGAAGTCCCATCTTTATATCATTCAAAGCATGATTCAGTGGCTAGAAGATACGTATTTGTTAGAGAAGACCCGGGCAACATCTCCTCTATGTGGTGGGTGAGAACCACTAATAGTTGTAAAGATTGGTCTTGTTAAAAGGAGGTCATCTTGAAAAGTGCTTATAATTATCATTCCTTCAACTAAACACAATTTAGTTTACAATTTCAGAGTAAGTTACATTTTAGAACTTACAAACTGATTTAAACAATAGTAATTTCAGGGAAAAACTGTATATATTTCCCTCTTGAAAACTGTGGAGTTTTTAATTTTGACACTGTTATCTATATGGATTAGGCCTGCTTGCCTGCTACAAGTTTTTCTTTCCTAGATGTCATGGAAGTATGACCCCAACGCACAACACTTGTGACATCATTTTAACATTTACAAATATGTCCTATAATGTTGAATATTTTTCTTAGAAATTTATGTGAATTAAAGCAGTCCTCCTTAAGGCCTCTAAAAGCAAGTTCAGACTATAAAATAACTGATTTTTTTTTTTCTCTCTAAACAGGTAGCAGAAGGAAAACAAGAAGAAATCCAACAGAAGGGACAAGCTGAGAAAAAAGAATTACAACATAAAATAGATGAAATGGAAGAAAAAGAACAGGAGCTCCAGGCAAAAATAGAAGCTTTGCAAGCTGATAATGACTTTACCAATGAAAGGCTAACGGCTTTACAAGGTAAGTTAGCTAATCCAGAAATTGATTTGATTTGATTTTTTTTCCTTTTATCTGTGAAATACCTTTTTCTTGGACTTTTATTTGCAGTACGGTTAGAACATCTTCAGGAGAAAACTCTTAAAGAGTGCAGCAGCTTAGGTAGGTGTGTCACCACATTTCTTATCTAAAGCTGAATTTTTATCATTGAATTTCTGATATTTACTGTCTCATTGGGTACTTATTTTTTATGTATTAGGTAGAATATATCCACACTCTTTCAGAAAATTTTCTACAAAAGTATGCTTCATTGCCACTAGTGGGCACTGTTGTTTAGGCCTTGAGATGAAATTTGTGCATCTGAGAAGCTCTACTTAGAGATACTTAAGTAAGAAAAGTACAAACACAGCAGGATTCTTTTTCATTTGAGGTTCACTGGAAGGTTCCTAGGCAGTTGTAGCTTTTTCTCTGAGTTTATAGAAAATGATCCCTTGAACCCTTCTTGGAAAAATAAATTCAAAGTGTTCTATACTGTCTTAATGCAAGTAGGAATACAAAATGCCATGAGACCAGTTTTAAAGTAACCCTTTCTTTGATCAGGCAATGATACACTGTCTTAATCCTAGGGATACAAGTTGATGACTTCTTACCTAAAATAAATGGGAGCACAGAAAAAGGTAGTGTAAAAACCTTAAATGTTTTCCTTTCATGATATCCTTTTACTACTTAAGCAGGATAGAGAGATCAGCATTTTAAGGTTTTCATTGTTTGGAATAAAAAGCATGCTGTTCATGGACCATTGAATCCCAGCTTTTATAAAAAGCTTCCCTTTATTTTGTAATTCTTAAAGCTCTGATTTTTGGTTAGATATCCCTTGTTATATGGAAATTTTAATGATCTAACTAACAGGAAAATGCTCAAGTGCAACTTTAGCATTGATTTATATAGCATAAAATTAACTTCTCCCCCAATATATTTTTCAAAGAACTCCACTATCATTTTCTTCCATTGAGTACTGCTTCCTTGGAATATGGGGCCTCTGTTTTTAATGTTTGTGTCCTGCCCCATCCCTGGCCATGAGTTTACTTAACAGTGCATTGAGCTCTTGGATGTGTCATTGAAGCTGCTTTCTTTATACTGTACATCTCTTTCTTTAATCAGAGAAAACAGGGTCAGTCATTTCTACTATCTGAAAAATCCTTTATTAGTTCTTGATACTGTGACCCTTCTTTCTGGATAGCTTGCCTTATCTCTTGCCAAAAATGTATAGCCACTATTGGTTTTCCTGTTACTGCATGGGGTACTTTTTACCCATTGACTTGTACATTCCTTCAGTCATGAAGATCCCCCTTCGCCCTCCCCTTTCCATCCATCCAACATTAATTGAGCACCAACTATGTGCCAGATTCTGCATTAGACGCTTGAAGCTCAGAATGACTAAAATTATTTTCTGTATTTACAAATCTGTGTACCTCTGATCTTAGTTTTTATATAGAAGTAAGTGGAAGACATCAAGGTCAGTACTCAGAACTTCTTATTAAATTTTTTTTTTCATGTATCAGGGGATATCTTTATCGTTCTTGGGCAGCAACCAACTCTGATAAAGTTAGGGGTGCTTTTTTTGCTCTTGTTTTTGTTTGGTTGGTTTTTAGTTAGGAATTGGCAAAATAGGCTTAGGTAATTATCTAGGTATGAGCTTGCAAGTTCAAGACCTAATAATATTACATATGTTCTATAAAAATCTCAAAACTCTAAATTAGAAATTATTGTCATTAATCATTGTTATTTGACTATTCTGTATATATTTTATAAAATACGTCAACATTTTAGAATTCCAGTTTGAGTTTCAATTTGAGAATTTTTAAAGGTGTAGTTTATATTCATCCCAGTATTACTAATTTTATTAATATTACTAATATTATTAATTTGTTTATTACCTATATTTAGTGAGCATATAAAATGACTTAATCCTCATTTTCTAAAAGGTTGTTATCATTAAATGAGTTTTTATTTTTTGTTGTCATTATTTGCCTTTTTTTCCTCTTTCTGACATGAACACCTTCCAATCACCATTTTGATTGGAGCATGTATTTATTAATAATGTTAGTGTTAATTCAAGCTGGAAACACGTTATTCCTTCAGTTAAGAGAATCCTTTAATGTACACTAAATCATCTTTAGATGTTATCAGATTTAGGGTTATAAGATTACTGCTAAATGGTTTTTTTTTTTTTGTCAATTCCAATTGATTTAGATGAGAATAGCTAGAGACAACTTGATTTAAGACTGAATAAGTTATTTTGGATATAATTTACTGATTATAAGGTACTAAATAAGGTACTTCTTCTGTTCTTCTATAATTTTTCACTTGCTAGTATGTTTGGTTTTTTAGTGGTGATAAATTGGTGTGGGGGTGACAAATAGTATATCTTTAATGAGACAGAATAGTAAATATCTTGATATGCACAAAAGCTTCATTACACCAGATTTAGTGTACAGTGGATTTTGGAGTAAGATGGGTCTGCTCTGAATCATTTGTTAAAGAATAGCAAGCTAGTTATCAAGCATTCTAATATTACCAAAAATCCATAACCATAATATGCCAGCAGATATGACTTTAACTAAAATTAGTCTTTAAATAGTAGAGAACCAATTATAGTTATAAGAGAATATTTTTAAAATGTCTGAAGATGTTAAGATCAATACTATTTATCTAATAAACTTTATTTTTGAAATTACTTTAAACTACCTGCTATAAGCATAGGTTTTATACTATAAAATTTTCTGTATCTTCTCTAATAGGCATATTTGAATATACCTTAATATAGAAAAGCACTGTCTAATAGAAATATTATGAGAACCACATATATAATTTAAAAATTTATGGAAACCACATTAAAAATATAAAAAGCAGGTAAAGTGTTAATAATGTGTTTTGATAATGTTAATTACTTTGACCTACTACATCCAAAATATTATTTCAACAATATAATCAATATTAAAATACTATAAGTGAAGTATTTCACCTTCTTTTTTCCTTAGTAAGCCTTTGAAACCAGTAGATATTTATTTTATACCTACAGCACATCTCAATTCAAACTAGCCATTTTTTCAGGGCTCAGTACCCACATGTGTATAAATAAAACACATTTTAAGTAGCACAGTTCTCTATTATGTTTCTGTATCTGTTTTTTCTTTGCATTTCCACAGCCCTGTTTGGAATCTTACACATGCCTCCCTGTCCCTGCCTTCCCTGCGCTAAGTAGCTCATTCTTTTTGTATCTCAGTGACATCTTTTATAGTTTTGGCAAAATGAATTCCCAAGGAACTGAATTCAAGTAATGAAGTACTTAAAGTATCATCATCCAAATCCTTTACATGTACTATCTGAAATATTTTTCCTCTCAGGTGTCTTAGAAAATGCCTTTGTAGAAATCATATATATAATATATATATAATAATATATTAATCTTGCATTTTATCTAAACTAGTATAATAAACACTTTAATGTAGAGTCCAGATAGCAAAATCAGAGTAGATAAAAGGTTGATTTGAGGCTTGATCAGTAATGGTGGGATGTACTACATCAATAAATGTCATCTAAAGTCCTGTGATGATAGTCTGAAATTCTGTTTCAAATAAGTTCCATAAAGTCCTTTAGGTTAAAATTTGGCTTCAAATGAGTTTTCATATTTAACCATGATGTTGTGTAGTTGAAGTTCTGAAAATGTTATCACAGCTTAGATAGGATTTACGTAAAACAACTTTTGATCTTGGTAATTACTATTCAGCTGAGGGCTCCTGTTTAGGATTTCTTGGCGCCAATCAGCAAATGCTATTTATTAGACTTGTATAATTTTTATCTTTTGTATTTTATTATTTTTATTATATATATATAGAGAGAGAGAGAGCAGGAGGAGAGGGACAGAAGGAGAGAAAGAGAATCATAAGCAGGTCCTACACTCAGTGTGGAGCCCGATGTGGGGCTTGATCCCAAGACCATGATATCATGACCTGACCCAAAATCAAGAATTAGATGCTCAACCAACTGAGCCACACAGGCGCCCCTAGATTTTTTTTAAATTTCTGTTGTAGTTAGCCATTTTTCTTCCTTTTGGGGCTATATCATATCTCTATATAGTATAACTATATAACTATGCAATTATGTACAACTATATACACACATATATTACATATATATAATTGTTGACTGGAGGCTCTGTGTACCATGTAAATAGATAAAAAATAATGATAGATTCGAGTATGAAGGTAAAGAAGGTGTCTATTAGTAAAGATGTCAAGAGAAGCTAACCAATGATTAGAGTAGGAGATGCCTGCCCCTCAAAGTTGAGATGATAAGGGGTAAGGTGGGTTGAAAAGAGAAGGAAAAGAGACTTTCACAGTCAGAGTGCTACTAACCCATGTCCTCTCTCACAGGTTTTAGTGCTTTCCCACCTTCCAGGTAGTCATCCCTATTGTGATATATTTTTAACACTTGAACTTCCAAAGTCTTTCTAGTAGTTTTGAAAAATCCAGAGATATAATTGAAAGATGTTATCCAGATTTAGAAGTTAACCCTTTGAATCAAAGTAAATAAAGATTATTATAATAGCTGAAAAGAGCTCTACTGTTAGGTTTTGATTCTTCTCATTCATTAAAACAAAACAAAACAAATTCTTTTTGACGTGAACAAAACCATTCTCTGAGCTCTTATTTTAAAATATGCCTGGCATTGATTTTAATCATTTGGGTAATATTTTGAGAGTATGGAAAGTACAGATTAAATGACTCAAAGGAAAGGTTATTTGTGAAGTGAAAGCATAAAAATGAAAATATTGCATCAGTTTGTTAAATTTTAAGGTGTTATTTTATGGTATTCTTAAAATATTTATTTTTTGCCTCTTAAGAATAGCTTTGAAGAGGGACTGTTAGAGAATTGTTATTTGACAATTCAGTAAAAGCATATGATAAAATTTAAAAATTATTTACATGTATTTAATAAACTGTCATGGAGAAAGGTATATTTTAAAAGAAAAGAAGCTTTTTAGCAATATATGTCTGTGGTTTTCTTGAGCTCTTTGGATAGAAACTGCACCTTTAAAAGCTAACCAGTCAGTGTACAAATGAATGATTATATAATTCTGAGTCATTTAGCTTTATTAACTCTAAAATATGTCTGCTATTAATATTAAAAATATCTTAAACTTTTATGAATCTTATTCAGAGTTACTCATGTTAATACATTTCAGTTTTCCTACCTTTGCTGTTGGTATTCAAAAACAGCAACAAACGATATCCTTAAAGGTGTTTCTTTCTTTATTAGAGCACTTGCTTTCAAAGAGTGGCGGGGACTGCACTTTTATTCATCAATTCATAGAATGCCAGAGTGAGTACAGAGTATTTTTCACATTGATTTTAATGAAGTCAGGGGCTAACATTGAAAAATGAGAGGAAAAATAAAGATCTCACTGTGTTTGTTATGGTAGAAGTACACAGAGGGCCATCTTCAGACAGCATCGATTCTTCTCATACCAGTTTGGCTTCTCTCTTTTGAGAAAAATATTCTTGTGGCATTTGCCTTCAAATATGAATTTCATATTGCACACAAAAAGGAGGAAGTTTCAAGCTTTTAAATAAAAAATTGTAGTTGAGCAGGGAATGAAATTGAATGTCAAGCACCTGAACTTTCTGTGTGTACACTTAAGAAAGAGTAATAACGTTAACCTGTTTGATTTGCTCTCTAGTTCTATCACAGATTTGGAATTGAATTTCTTAAGTAAGTTCTTAAATGAAGCCATGAAAACATGATTTAGTTTGGGCACTCAGATCTGAAGATGACCCTTAGGGCAGCAGGAACTTTCTAGGGAAGGAATAGGGATAGATTGTCCCACATTCTGACATCAGCCACCTACCCTTGGGAAGTCTATCTTTAATAATACATTAAAGATAGAGAGGTTAGCTTTTGAGGTGATTTAGACCTCTGCTGAATTCTAAGCCAAAGTATCATGAATTTTCTCATACTTGAAAATCACATAGCTGCTTAAATCAGTAGGTTGTGATATTCTCTTGGTCCTCTTAGTGACAATTAAAGGTCATGTGTAACAAAGATTTACTGATGCTATCTATACTTTTCCTACCAGACACACAACTTTGTTGAACATTTTTCTCTGCCTGTTTGCTCTCTTCCCGCCCCCCAGTCTCAGGTTGGGAGGTTGACAGGGTCACACCTGGTAATGATAGCAGACAGAAACTCAGTAGATCCAATGTTATATACTCCTTAGAGATGCCTTAAGGAAACCTGGGATTTCATTTAATAGTTCTAGAAGAGCTTCTATTTTTGTCCATTTTATGTTGTATGTAAGTTTAATATTTTGAAGAAAATCAATGAATAAATATGGCACATTCGTTTGTCCTTTACATTTTTTTCATAAAGCAAAGATTAGTTTATGTTTTTGTTATCTTCTGATTACTAAATTATACTTTTACAGGAAATTGGCACAGGAATTTGGGGCAAAATAATTGGCATCCACTGAAACCGACTAAAAGCAGAATATAGAATTTAAAATATAAATCTTTAGGGGAAGGATTTTATAGTTTCATTACATGTGACCATTGTTTAATAAGTTAATTTTATTTTAAACTTTTGGGGCTTCTATTTTGAGCCCAAAGAAACAAGAACAGAGAACTATCCAAAAGGAAAGCTTACTAAGTTACAATTTGCAAAAATCATTTAAGATATTATCACAAAATGTGTATGTAAAATATTTAGCTGTAGTTGTAACACAGAACAATGTTTGTTTTACATTACGAAAAATATGGCGATATTTGTTTTGTCGTAGTTATGGGGGGAAAATGGGCCAGTAAATATTCAGAGATACAGCAGAAGTTATATAAGTTACCGCAATCTGCTCAACAAGGATATTAGCCAATAAAATTATGTTTACAAAGACTATACAGTGGCATGGGAAAATGTTAATTGTGGTATAAAGAGGGAGAAATGAGAATACAAAATGCTTTCCTTGTGGACAAAGAATGAATGAACCAAAGAACAAAAAATAAAATATGAGTCTTAATAGACATCTGAATCCATTGGGTCCCTAAGTGCAAACGGAAGTTTGGACTGTAAATTCATGTATATACCTAGGGATATAACTAGGGATATAGTCCATTATCTGAATCTTCCCTGTTCCTGAGATTTGGTAGCAAGTAGCAAGAGTTTGGTTAATGAGGATACCAGTTGGATCTCAGAAATTTTCAAATATGTTGGCTCCTTAAATTTGGATAGCCAGAGGTGGCATAGTAAGAGTTAACTCTGATTTGATTTGTTGTCAGAAGGGGTGTTTTCATCATTTTATGACAAGCTACTGGTACAGAAATTGTGGTGTTTAATAAGTATTATGACAAGCAAAGCAAATTTGAATAAAATCTTACTCAGGTGAACTTTCAAAATAATTTTGGTTTATTTTTTTATAATCTCACACAAACTTTTTTGCCATTGTTTTCACTGATAGACATCTTGAACTGATTTATGATCTTGAACATGAAGTTTATATTTTGTGAGCAGTGACACCCTATAGTCTTATTTTCCTGTCTTTTATTGATTTTTTAAAAGATTTTTTATTTTTAAGTAACCTCTACACCCAAAGTAGGGCTCAAATTTATAACCCCGAGATCAAGACTCACATGCTCTACTGACTGAGCCAGCCAGGCACCCCTATTACCAGTCTTTTAAAAAGCAGATGTTAAGTACTTAGATTTCATTGTTTACGGTACTTGTTGTATAGTCCAAATTCACCTTGTGCTTTAAAATTAGAAAGCAAATAATTCACTTCTGTAGGATTCCTCATGTCTTTTTAATATATTTACCGAGGTTTTCAGTTTATGTATATGAACCCATAAGAGAATGGTTTAGTTGTTGGCTGTCTCCATTTACAAGGTGATTTTGATGAAATTAAATGAGTTGGAACACATTTCGGTTTGTTTTCCTTTTATGGTAAAAGAAACTGTGTTTCTTTTAATTCTCTTTTAGGAGAAAAGCTTTTAATCCCAGGCAAAGAGATTGGATTTTGAACAGATTTAAATATAACCTTTTGCATAATTCCAGGACTGTGAAGTAATTTTCTCTGTAAAAATTACCATGTAAAATCTAGAACTAACAAGTAACTTTAATAAAACTTGCTAAAAAACTCCAGCAATATTTTCTTCTTTAGGGATTCAGGCATGAAGTTTGATTTAAGTAGAATTCCACATTCCATGTTCCCTGCAAATTTTAGTTACTCAAGGTTTACCACGTAAACTTAATAAATATGTTAAGGGGCACCTGGATGGCTCATTTGAGTAGGTGTCTGACTCTTGGTTTCAACTCAGGTCATGATCTCCTGGTTTTGTGACTTCAAGCCCCACCTCAGGCTCTGTGCTGACAGCAAGGGGCCTGCCTGGGATTCTCTCTGTCCCTCTCTTTCTGCTCCTCCCCTATTCACACTGTCTCTCTCAAAAATAAATGAATAAACTTAAAAAGAAAAGAAGACTAATACATTGAGACTGTTGTGTTTGCTAAGTGTGCTTTCTGAGTTAAATTGTGCATCTCTAAATCTGTTTTATATATATCCCGTGAACTCTGTCATTTGACTTGTATGCTGAGCACAAAAATAAAAGGTAAAAGGTGGAGAATCTCAGGACATGGAGACTCACTTTATGGGCATAGAGTAAAAAGCAGCTTTCTCCAGGCTACTGCCTGCACTTTACTTCTGCTACTGTTTGTCTGGGTGAGGGCAGAGGCATCACAGCTGTGTACCAGAGAAACTTTCTTTTGAGGTCCACTTTGTACATGCAAACTGCCCTCTCCCTAAACGGCATCTTCCTTTTGATGATTGAGTTAACAAATGCCTTGAAATAAATTTCATGTCTTTGTATTCTTAATCCATGGTTACTATGAGACTTCATGGTTTTTATTATTAGAAGCAGAAGTCTAATTCTCTTAATATTTCATGTTTTATGTAAGTTTTTTGCCTGATTTAAGAAAAAGTCTCTTCCTGCTTCCCACCTCCCTTTTGAAATTACAGTCACTGTCTGTATATGTTTGTCTCATTCCCTCCTTCCTTTTAGGGCTTTGCTCTCACATAAAAATTACCTTATTTGGAGTAATGCGTTGAATCAGTGTTGCTCGGTGACTGTTTACTTTTCATCACTCTGTGAGATCAGCGCCTCTGAACAATCTCAGGCTTATTCTGATTACATATTCCACTTGAAATATTTTTTAATTTTCATTTTTTAAACTTTTATTTCTCTAAGCCAAAGCAAGTTATTTATGACAGAGTAGAATATATGTGGTATGGTTCCCTGCTCATAGTAGTTTATGTCCCCATTATAGGAAAATTCTTAATTTAAACTAGATGTTATTAGACACAAAAGAATACATACTATAGTATTACATTTATGTGAAGCTCAAAACACTAAAATTATAGTATATTGTTTAGTCATGCACATTTGGATAGTGTGACTATAAAGAAATGCGAGAAATTAAATACCACAAAGTCAGGATAGTGGTTACCTTAATGGGATTTTAATTGGAAAGGGAAACATGGGAAGCTTTAGGGTGTTGTGTTTGGGTTCTTTCTTTCTTTTGTTTTATTTTTTTCTTTATGAGAGAGAGAGAGAGAAAGTCAGCAGGGGCTGGGCAGAGGGAAAGAGAGAGAGAATCTGAAGCAGGCTCCATGCTCAGCACAATCCCACAACCCTGGGATCCTGACTGTAGCCGAAACCAGGAGTCAGAGACTCCAGACGCCCTTGTGGTTAGGTTCTGTTTCTTGATTTGAGCTGTGGTCATACAGACATTTGCTTTAAAATAAAAAATTTATTAACCTGTACTTTTGTGTTTTGTGTTCCTCTCTGTATGTTATTTCTCACAGTAAATAAGTATGGCTTTAAAATAGGGAAAATGAATAATTATCTCCATAGAGTATCCCTTAAAAGAGGGAGTTCTTTAAAAGTAAGTAAATCCTCTATTTTATCTTTCAGTTGTGCCAGGCCAAATAGTTCTTTCAAGGCCTGCATTTATCATTATACGGGGTTCTCTTCTGAGTCTCTGGTAGCCTCCAACTTTTAGTGTTCCCAAAGAATTGAAGTGTTCACTCCAAGTTTGAGAACCAGGGGCTAGAAACTTTTTTTTTTAAACAGTGTTCTTTTCAGGGTGCCTGAGTGACTAGTTGGTTGAGCGTTGTACCCTTGATTTCAGCTCAGATCACGATCTCACAGATCGTGGGATTGAGCCGCGCATTGCTGAGTGCAGAGCTGGCTTGGGATTCTCTCTCCCTCTCTGCCCCTTCCCTACTCACACACACTCTCTCTCTCTCTCAGAATAAATAAATAAGCATTAAAACAAAACAG